CCGAAATCTGTAAAGAGTAGAAAATTAAGACTTCCTTAGCACGCTCAAGTGCGTGGCAATCCTTTGTCCATTCGAACTTTGCGTATTCCTTGAACAACGCGTCCAAGGGTGCACGAAGCTGAGCATTTCTGACACGGATGAGCCACGGTTGTTGATCATAGAAAGAAACGAACATCCGTTATGTTTCCTGTTGCCGGCTGCTGTATGACCTCAATCTTCTTTGAATCCCGCCCACCAGTTTCGTCGATACTGCAACCTAAGTAGCAGATTTTGGCATTAGAAAACTGCACTTTACCAATCTGACGTGGAGTCGCAGTTCTCGATCCGCGTGAACAAGGCTTTCAAATCTCGGCGGTGTTCATCTACCAGCCAATCCATTGCCTCCCGTTCTGGTGCTGTGGTGTAGGTCTGGTACTGGTCTTTCCTTTTTGAAGACGGGAGCAGGCAGCATTCCTCTTCAAGACTAACCTCGCTTTGCTCTCGTATATTTTCCTAGCTTCGCTCCTAAAGACCTCCGGATACTCGTTCTTCAAGTCGGTGACAACTTTGACTTGAAAGGTTTCGTTGTCAGTCATCTTCCTGCATTTGTACCTGGTCTTCAATCTTTTATAGGCGGGAAACTGGATGCATATTTCATTCTCAATAGATTCAAACCTTCGGTGGCGTAGCAAGTTCTTTTTCTATGGACTATCTGTCCTGTAACTCGATCCTTGACCTTAAAATCAGCTGAAGTTCGATCTGCATTGAAGTTCCATACGCAGTTTTTCTGCACTACGCGCAGGGTTCTAGAGACGGAGATACCATCCTTTCCCAAGCTCTACGCGAAATTAGCGTAATATCCGCACCGTTGTCCAACTGGAGCTTAAGAGGACATCCTTTGGCAGTCGAGCTCGGGTGTTTCGACATCAAAGGCGATCATGTTCTTGCAGTGTTTTCTGCGACTATTGGGCTGGCCCCCTTCCGTCGCTCCCTCCAATCCTTTTTAAAAATTTGTGGCAATCTCTGTTGAAATGCAAACCTCCACATCTAAAACAATCTACCTTTTTCTTCCAAACCGCATGGACATCGC